GGAGAGCAGCAACATCTTTGCCTAGGGATGCTTGGCTAGGATGGTTAGTAGTACCCTTATTCCCTTTTTGTAGTCCTGGTTCCTTATACACTTACCCAATACCAAAAAGGGAGCCCTTTTCATTCCTAGCTTGCTGGGCATCCTACTGTTGATGATATAAGCCCTGCATTACCTTAAGGACCCTAAACTATGGGAATTATGGTATATTCCGTATTATGGGTAATGCAGGATTTATATCATCAACCGTAGTTGGGCTGGGGATCGTAGACCTTCGGTTTAAACATTTTCTGCCATACGGTGTGGCAGCTTCTGGGCTGTCTCAGGTGTCGGGTTTTTTTGGGTTTAAGGTTGTTTTGGGTTTAGGGGTTCATTTTTTGGGGTTTAGGGGTTCTGGCTGGTTTAGGGCTTTAGGGTTTAGATGGTAGCGTTTGGGGTTCTGGCTGTTGGATTCCCTAAACCTTGGATACTGCCCCCACTCAGTAACAGTTGGATATGATTCAAAATATAGATATAGGGGGCCCTTGATAGTAGCCCTATTATAGACGGTTTATCCAACCTAAACCCTAGCTGCAGCACGAAAAAACAATTCGGTGAACCCAAAAATCTAAAGTCCTCAGTTTGTGGGAGGGTTGTTTAACGTCGGGTGGACTGCTCGATATGGGAGTTTCCGAAAATAGGGGACCCCAATATAGTACCCTAAATAGTAGGATCGATAAAGTAAGGACCGCAAACTACGTACGGTAGCCTTAATTTTGGAAACTCCCATATGAAGAAATAGAAGACTGAGGATCTAGCAGGTAAGCTGTTGTTGGGAGTTCAGCTTCTGTGGGCTGCATATGGGTGGTTGTCAACATTAGGCTCACTTGTTGGGTACCCTAAATAGTAGGTGCTGTATTATAGTAGGGACCCGAAAAGGGACCATCATTTTGACAACCACCCATATCTACAGTTGGGTTCAGAAAGGGTTTTGGGTTTAGGGTAGGGGCTGCTTGACCATAGTTGGTTTGGATGGTTAGGGTTAAGATTGTATGTATATGCATATGCCATGGTAAGATTGGTCTGCTGCTTCGGTGTCTCCGAAACGAGTTCCCCATATAGTTTTCTTAACATGGCTTAGATCCCCTGTACATACCTGTACTCACATGAGCTCCGTCGCAAGGGATTCTTGCACTGCTGAGGCCATGTTTCGGCAGCCGCCGCGCGGAGTCAACTCAGCCATCAACAGAGGTGGGTAGCAACCTGCCCTTGGCACCGGGATTAGAGGTTTAGGGTTTCGTCTCGACGCGGAAAGCTGGAAATGCAAATGCCACTCCGAAATGTTAGTGTCCTGGCGTACAGGTGATGGTTGTGCAAGGGTCTTGAAGGACAGTTGGACCTGAGAAGGTTTACCGTTCCTTAGGGTCCTTTCTCCAAAAACATGCTGCCAACGCTACCTTTACTCCGAGGCCGACATTTCCACGATCACCACTACGACCACCAAAAAGAGCATAAACACGACGACAACGACGGCGTCGACCACGTGACGACGAAGCCGGTTGCCGAATCCTTTTGACTATCATGGCTGTTACCAGGGTCCTGGTCAGCACTATCGCAGTATTAGTCTGCTTCCTGCGTCATGTTTACGAACACCACTGCGAGTACCACTGTCGCTGAAAGAGTTCCTGGGTATGCTTAACATGACCATAGTCACAAGCACGTGACCTGTTAGCAACGTGCCACATGACTATGTCCCCCCAACTCCACGAAGCAAGACCGGGATCAGAAGAGACAGCAATCCGAGTGAGTTCCAAGTGAAGTTGCTCAGTTTTGCAAAATCCACGAGCTTCAGGCTTCTCTAGGTCAAGGCTTTGTTCGGGATTTAGGTTCTCTTCGAAAACTAAGTAGCACGAGTCTGGAAGCTGACTTTGTGTTTTTGGAAACTGGTGAATAGAATTGTTATGACTCCGCACATACCTTGCATGTTTGTCGAGTACAAGGTAACCCAAACGCCCAACTGCATCACTTAGACCCCGACATCGAGCACCGAAGTCCATTTCTCGCAGGATCCTGTGTCGCCGCGCTCCGTGAGGGATTTCTTGTGAGCAGTAGCCAGGCAAGGTGCACGGTTGTGGTAGCTGCTATGGGGTCAGAGTTACATCTGGCTTCAGGATGTGACGGCTAAAGCCTTTGAAAACTCGGGCCTTTAGGGTTGCCCCCAAACCCAGGAATTTGTACATTGTATTGTATGCTTTTTACATCGATGTACATTGTAATGTATGTTTTTTTACATCGATGTAAAAACATACATTCCAATGTACAGAATTCCTTTCTTTGAAGGTTCGAGCCCTCGAAGCGGGGACCTGTCGAGCATTCCGGTGAGGGAACCCCGGGGCCTTGTGGCTTCAATACGACTTGTAAAGGGTACAGTAAGCCCCATAACCTAGTAGTCGAGTAGGTAACTTTTAACCTTTTTGGTGTAGTATAGTCCCTAGATAATCCCTATATAACCATTTAGGTTAACCTTTAGTCACCCTATATAACCATTTAGGTTAACCTTTAGCTTCCCATGATACCCGACAAGTAGGATACGGCTTGTCACTTGGAAACCGGACGAAGGCCAAATAGTGCTGGAATTCCCTACATATTATTCTTAGGGCTTGAGGCTACTGAGTTTCCAACTTTTGGGCTTCTACTATATGTTGGCGGTGTTGCAAGGATGCCCGAGGGTTCTTGTAGCAGGAAGTTCTGCTTGAAGGGGTCTTGTCAGTATTAACTTTGCTTCTTATGGTAGGATGGACTTGCAGTGTTTTATGCTCGTGCTGCTGAAAGACTTTAGGCTCACAGCTAGAGATATTTCCATGCAGCGCTTGCTCCAAACTGGACGTCCCTTTTCTGAAGGGCTTCCCTGAAGAAATGCGTACTGCACAGTATCTGTATTATTAGGGGTTCTTTGCATCCTGGAATATCCCGAAGCTCCACCCTCATAGTGTAGGCGCCTTAATAGTGTTCAAACGGTTTCGGGGGGATTCAGTAAGCGCTAAAGCCCCTATTTTGGAACTGTTGTGAAACACAAGCCCGACAGGCATCCTACTGTTGATGATATAAATCCTGCATTACCCATAATAAGGAATATACCATAATTCCCATAGTTTAGGGTCCTTAAGGTCATGCAGGATTTATATCATCAACCGTAGCACAATATCGGTTGCAACAGCGTCTGTGGTAATGTTTTCTTGTCAACCCAAATCACCAGCCTAGCGGTTTGAATACACGACCACGACCTGCCCCAACACCCTAAACCCCTAAGCCCTAACTATGTGAGAGTTTAGAAGTTTCGCCATGAGGGTTAACGGGACACGAGAGTTTAAAGACCTAGAGGCACCCTAATCCTTTTTGCGAGGACGCCCTTGTCTCCTGAGGCCCCCATATATCCGTTAAGGGTTCTTTTTGGCTTCTGGTTCCTCTTCATAACTATATGTTAGCATCCGCCAAACCTTTCGTCTAATTATGAACGCGCCTATCTCAGGGGATTTAGCCTCAAAGGCTTTGGGGATGACGTTTACAGAGGTTCGGGCACTGTGCCTGCATGCTCACACTTCGAATACTGGAGTGCCCAAAAGCGGGTGTAATTCTGAAAATTTAGGGCTAAGGACTTGGGGTTCCTCAGACATTCAAGTCGAGATTCAAACGGGACCTTAAAGCGTTCTCTGCACCCGCTTTTGGGTTCAATGATTCGGGGTGTCACAAAGACTGCTGAGAATGCGCTCACGGCTTTACGTCGCCCAAGCGTTGCGGAAAAGGGTGGGCTGGCAGTTGTAGTTCTACTTGGAGGTTCATGGGTAGTTATAAGTGGGGTTATAAGTCCCCTAATATAGGTTATAACTATAGTTATCCTACTTATACCCCTACTTATAACTACCCATGAACCTCCAAGTATGCGTGGCTTCTGATGTAGGATTGAGGCTCTTTGCTGAGGACCTGAGAGCCGCATCTGTTGGGGATTCGTGTTTCCGGATGACTAGGCTGGTTGCGACTTGTTCTAGTTATTAAGGCCCGCAAACCCTTAAAGCCTTATAGAGCCCTTATAGACCCACCTAAACGAAGGAAGCCTTTCAAAGAACCCCATTCTAATAGTTACGGCCCCCTACAGTTAGCAGAAAACTTGGAAGGCATGAGCAGTCCACCATAAACGAAGACCCTACATACCCTACAGACTAAGGCCCTAAACCCTAAACTAAAACTAACACCCTCAAGCTTAAACTGAATCCTCAACCCTAAACCAAATCCCAGAAACCCTAAAACCGAAAAGAAACCCGAAAACCCTAAGCCCAAAAAAGAAACCCCAAAATCTAAGCCGAACCCTAAGACCTCAAGCCCTAAATTGAACCCTGGAAGCTCTAAAGCCGTCTCGACTTTTCGGGATTTTCCGCTGGTTCCGAACATAAAGCGACTCTGACCTCGTAGCAGAGTTTGGGGCTTTGCGGGGGTAGGGGTTTAGGGTTTAGGGGTTTGGGGTTTCTGGTTTGGGGGTTTGGGGGTTGGGTTCTGCGCCTTTTCATCCCAAAGGTTGAGCTTCCATTCCTAGGGCAAGTAGAGTACGTAGGTAATCGTACCCTTTTCTGTTGGGAATCCCGAAAGCAAGGCCCACTTCGAGAACCTTCCTAGCGGCGAGAAAGCTATTTTGAGAGCACCTGGATCCTAATATCCTACACCTTAAGCCTTAACCCTAACTCAATCCTGCACACTGAACCTTCAACCCGGAGTGAATATTTCCATATACAGTAGAAGCCAGAAAGTTGGAACATCATTATCCTCATGCCCTTAAGGTAAAGTATAGGGAATCAGAGCATTAATCGTCCTAAATCCATGTTCCAACTTTCTGGGGTTCACTATAGTCCCCGTACAAGTATACTAGAAGATATCACAAAACCCCTTTCCGGCTATCAGGACCCATGTATTCGAGACTCCCTAAACCCTAAACCCCACGCCTCTGAGGCTATGCCTCCCGGCGCGATGCGGACATGGCCGGAATGCCTAAAGAGCGTGAAAGATTAGCATCGAAGCCTAAATCGTTGGTCATACTTGTTTCGTACTTGGAGGTCCATGGTTAGTTTTACTGGGCTTTGGAGTACCATACTTTAATACTTTTTTGGGACCTGTTACTTAAAGGGAACCAATCATGAAAAAAAAGTCTATAGTCTCTACTTCTTCTCCCTGGTTACTTCAAAGTCCAGTTTAAGTGGGGATACAAGTCCCCTAATTAACTGGGCTGTATAACCATAGTTACCCTACTTAGAACCCTACTTATGACTACCGATGAACCTCTAAGTAAAGCCCTATGTAGTCATGTTTTCGCATACCTCTGAAGTTTTTTTGACTAGGGCATATATTAGAGTCGTACCCTGAGGGTCCAAGTACCATAGGAACCTAAAGAACGTAATCATCGGAAACCCCAGCGCAGAACTCTAGCATGCTTTGGACCTTTAGGTTCTGATAGCAGGGTTTATGTGGGTGGTTTTCAAAACTATGGCCCCTAATTGGGTTGCCGTATTATAATAAGGCACCCTAATTTTGACAACTACCCAACCCTAAACCCTAAACCCTAAACCCAAAAAGGCACCCTAATTTTGACAACTACACCCATGTGGCCTTTTGAAGAGGTGTGGCCCTTTGGTGTCTTAAGGTTTGGCCGGATTCGGGAGTTGGGTTTAGAGTTTAAAATTAGGGTTTAGGGTTTGGGTTTAGGGTTTAGGTTTAGGGTTTAGGGTTTAGGGTTATTGTTTAGGGTTTAGGCTTATTGTTTGGGGTTTAGGGTTTAGTAGTTGTTCGCCCCCTAATTTTAAACCCTCAGCCGCGGACAGTATCGGGTTCCTCAGCGGGTTGTATACTGTTGCATGGAGTTTCGCGGTCTAGGCCTGGTAGTCGAGTAGGTAACCTTTAAATTTTTTGGGTAGTATAGACCCTATATATAACCAGAAAGGTTAGCCTTTAGTTCCCCATGATACCCGACACGTAGGCTAGAGCTTGATTCCGCAGGTACCGTTTGTAAATTCAGGGTTTGAGGTTCTGGGGCAACTGCAAGTGTTGTATTCCTGAAAACCCTAAACCCTAAACCCTAAACCCCTAAACCCTAAACCCCTAAACCCTAAACCCTAAACCCCTAAACCCTAAACCCTAAACCCTAAACCCCTAAACCCTAACCCTCAAGCACTTTACGCTCTGCAGCTTTGAAGCCCCAAGCACCGAACCTTTAGCACTAATACAGGGGTACCAATACTGTTTTGCCCTATATTATAGTACACTTGTAGATCCCTTATAGCCCTTTATATAGAGCCCTAAATAGGAACCCCCTTTCTAGTTATTAAAGCCCCTATATCAACCCCGAACCGCAAGGCTCTTCGAGCATTTCAGGCTTCAGGGCCTTACGATAATAGAGGTACTCTAGAAATAGAGGTACTCTAGGAATGTGCAAGGGGCTATAGGGTTCTTTGGAATGTAGAGATTGAGGAAAACTTGCCATAGTTTCGGGTTTGGGGGGGCTTCTGTGTAAGTGCGCTGGCGATGAACTCTGCTGCAAGCCCTCCACCCTTGACCGGAAGGCACGAAACCCTGAGCCCCACACCGTAGCTTCATTCATCCTCGGTTTAGCAGCTGAGCGGCTAACCGTTAACCTCGGGCTCGGGCATACACAATTCTACCGTAATGCAGAGGTCGGAACTGCAGCAGTAATTCTTCCCACAATATAACTACAGTCGGGGCTTTTCGGTGGTTCAGGGCTTAGTGGCAAAGCAGCTACGCCGTGGCTAGAGGTGGTCATCAAGGGAAAGGACCCAAACTCCAAACAACGAGGGCCCCGTGTTCAGGAATATTGTGGATGCCGGTCCAAAGCAAGCCCTAAACCTCCAGCAATCCTCAAGACAATGAAATCCTAGGTCGTATTGGGGAGAGCCCTTAAACGGGACCCTTCTTAACCCTGAAGTGCTTAATCCCAGGCCCTACCCCCTCAAGACCCCTTTAAATTTTGAACAGATCCTCAACCCGCGAGACCCCGAACCCAGAAGTTCCAAGCCGCGAAAGCCCAAAGTACGATTTTTGATACTACTTTTAACTTTTAATACTCTTTAGTTTTGATATTATTCCTACTATTTTCTTCTTATCACTACTACTATTATTAGTACTCTCATTATGATCTCTCCTTATTATTAAGATTATTGTTTCTATTTTAAATGACTATCATTCTCATTCTTCTTATTAGCACTGTTATTGCGAAGCCACTTCTTTACCAAGGCGGGAGCTCCAGCAGGGGAAGGTCCGGCGTTCCTCTTTGCCCTAACAAAGTTACCCTATAAGGGCTACTACAATCCAGACCCCCGGGAGGATCCAAAAAGTAGATCCCTTAATGGGGGCTCCTATAAAGTACCCTTAGTAGTATAGGGCCCCAAATTAGGGGATCTACTTTCTAGATCCTCCCGGGGATCTGGATAAGGGCTACTACAAGGATTTAGTATACCTAGTAGTCGAGTAGGTAACCTTTAACCTTAAAGTCCTCAAGGGGTCTAGTTTCTGTGATGCACCTCAGGTGAATCGCAAATCCCCCTCGTCTTTCTTGGGTAGTATAGTTGAAGGTTCAGACTCCCGGGAGGATCTAGAAAGTAGATCCCCTAATTTGGGCCCTATACCACTAAGGGTACTTTATAGGAACCCCCATTAAGGGATCAACTTTGTGGATTTTTTGGGTGGGTTTGGGTATAAGGATTTAGTATAGGGTTTTTTTAAAGGGATCCTGTAAGGGATACCATAAGGATACTATCAAGGTGGTTCATCATTGCAAAGTCATCCAAACCTAGGGGCCCTTAAACAAGGGTGTCTAAAAAGGGTTTAGGGTTCCCTTAAAGGGGTCCATTAAGGGCTACTCTCACCTACTACGGTTTGGAAGGTCCGGGGTTCCCCTTTGCCTTGAAAAAGTTATCCAAACCTACCATGGGGGCTCTTTAAAACTGGAATATCGGGCCCCTTAAAATGGCTCCTGTAAGGGATACCATAAGGGTACTTTAAGCTTTGCCTTAGCAAAGTTACCCAAACGGGTTTTGGGGTATAGGGTTTTGCAGGGTTTAGGGTACTGTTTTCAGGTTTAGGGCCTGAAAAATTGGAAGATAGGGTTCCTTTAAGGGATACCATCCGGCTACGATAAGGGTGTACTATGGGGTCGTAACAATTACCTATACTATTGTGGGTGTTCCTCATGATAGCTTAGTATACTACGCCGCAAAATCCCATTCTAAGTACTAAGTCCCCTATATTGCTGTTTTGTGGAGTCCTTTGAACACCCCCCTTGCAGTCTACAATAATCGCTTTCGCAGTGCCACTGCCAATACTACCACTACGGCTGCAACTACTGCTACCACCACTACTACTCCTACTTTTGCTGCTACTACTACGACTACGACTACTACGACTACTATTGCTACTACTACTACTACTACTACTACTGCTACTACTACTGCTACTGCTACTACTACTACTACTACTACTACTACTACTACTACTACTACTTCTACTACTTCTTCTACTTCTTCTACTTCTACTACTGCTACTGCTACTGCTACTGCTACTGCTACTGCTACTGCTACTGCTACTGCTGCTGCTACTGCTGCTGCTGCTACTGCTGCTGCTGCTGCTACTACTGCTACTGCTACTGCTGCCACTACTACTACAAATTAAGGTCCCATTTTAGATTTCAATACGTGCGGCACCCTTATAAAAAAAAATAAACGACCCTGTAAAAGGGACCCTAATTTAGAAGACTGCCCGAATAGTTAACCGAATCTCCGCCACAGGGCGCACTGAGCCACCTGGCTGCATATGTCAGCTTTCAGAGAGCATGGCATGCATACTTGGCCAGAAGATTGTTCCTTGTGGCTTCGTATCATAATAGCCCAGAATATCTATAGCATTGAAATCCCCAAAACCCTAGTCGAGTATGCAAACCCTTATATTACAATGGCGTCCCTTTACCCTACACCCTATACCCTATAGGCCCTATGGCCCATAAACTTAGGACGTTCGGGCGGTGTGGACTTTTTGGTTTCAAAGGGGGCGGCGAACCATCAAAACAGCATCGGTGTATGCTTATTGCGGCCCCTAGTTAAACCAAAACCCTACAAACTCCCATCTATCCCGTAAGGAACCATGGGACTTAGTAAGGGTTCTGAAAGGGCTCTTTAAAAGGAATCTATAGGGTTCCTTAAAGGGATCTATGGGGTTTAGGGTTGAGGGTCTACTTAAAGGGTCATGGGACTTAGTAACTAGTGTTACAAATAGGGTAACGCTACTTATGACTACTTATAACCCCCATTGAGGTACTTATAACCTTACTTACTAAGTCCCATGATCCTCCAAGTATCCCGTACAGAAATCCCTGAAAGAATCCCTCTAGCGCATTATGTATGCTAATTCTTAGGCGCCCCAAAACCGTATTATATTTATTAAGGCCCCTATATTATGGAACCCTACTATAGATCCCAGTAAGGAACCCTTTAAAGGAAACCCTATACCCCAAACCCTAAACCCCTTATTGATTGCATCCTTCCGGCCTTCTTACAGCTGTGAGCTTCCCCCAACATCCGCGCTGGGACTTTAGAGTGAACCAAGAGATTCCAACATCCCTGAATCAGGGAATATACCTTAAATCATATTAGGATCCTACTATAATTTAATGTAAATTGCTTAATTAAGGGATATTGGAGTCTTTGGGGTTAGGGTTCGATTCGACCTTCCCTTCTAGGCAGGCTTTTAGGGTTTAGGATTTAGGGTTCAGGGTTTAGGGTTTAGGATTTAGGGTTTAGGGTTCAGGGTTCAGGGTTCGATTTAAACGCACCCTGAAGGGAAATGCACGACTTCTAAGTAGGGTTTGTACTAGCAGTGTTGCGGGATGTCAGGTTTTCTTGAAAGGAGGTTGTTACAGGGTTTTGTTACTAGGGTTTTCGCGCTTGAGAACTGCATGCAGGGGTACAAGTTCTTGGGTCTTATCCCTACCTGTTAACCCCTAGTAGTCGAGTAGGGAACCTTTAACCTTTTTCGGGTAGTAAGTCCCTATATAGTCCTAGGATGCCCAGTAGTACCCTTATTCCCTTTTTGTAGTCCTAGGTTCCTTATAAAGTTACCCAATACCAAAAAGAGAGGCCTTTTTATTCTTAGGTTACTGGGTATCCTAGAGTCCGTATATAACCAAAAAGGTTAACCTTTAGTTCCCCATGATACCCGACGAGTAGGGGTTCAGGGTATCCCTGCCTCCTAACCCGTAAACCATTCACTGCACTGAAATGCAACCTCGCCGGCCCTGAGATTAGGGTTTGGGGCTTAGGGTTTCGGGTTTAGGGGTTTAGGGTTTAGAGGTTTAGGGTTTGGTGTTTGGGGTTGAGGGTGGGTGGAGGGGTGGATGGAGGAACATTAGCCGTAGTTACAGGAGCGACGGAAATAAGAACTCGAATGTCAGTTTGAAGAATGATACGAAGGCAACCCTAAACCCTGAAGCACGAAAAAACCTAGACCGTGCTTGCTTGGGGGATCTTTGTGCGTACGCGCCTGAGCATGGTGGATGCTGTTTGCCAACGATTCGCAACGACCGAGTGTATGCAACCATAAGAAGTGTTTACTGCCGGGGCCGATCACACAGTCTTCCGATGTGTGCTACCATGAGGTGGCCTGGGGCCCTCAATGTGACTGATGCTGTAGCAGCATGGAACGCTTACTGTTCTGCCATGGAGGGTCAAGAGCATCTTGTTGAAAGACCACGTCCACTGTTGAGCGTTTCAAACTGGTGTGCAGGCAGCATCAATGTGGTGTGGCACAGAGACACAGAGCTGGAAGCAGTGTTGTCTCAATTGGAGGAAGACGCAGTTGCCACCTTGCCACCACCGCATCAACAAGGCGGTCTTTTCCCTAGCCATGCCAACAGGAATCGACTGGAAGGGAAGCTGGGCGCAGCTTCCTGTACCTGCAACAGCAAACGATGTGCCATGGTATTCTCCCTCATGCATGCGCGGCTGCCACAATCAATCTGATTCTCTTGTCGGTTTCGTCGTCGTCAAGTCACGGCAAAGACGACTGGCAGAGCTAGGCAGACTGGGCGCGATGGGCTGACTGGTCGGAGTGGAACCAAGAGCAGCAGGGGTCAGTTGGACCCCCTGTCTGTCACCAGTCGCAGTTACCCATGCTAAGCCAACGTGTGTTTCACTTGCATGCGTGACGGCCTTCGGCCGATGCATAGGGTTCAAGCATACTAAGCCTAAGACTCCAAAACTGGACTATTTGAATGCATTTGATTCTCTGGACTCATACGCCGTATGCAACCTCTTCGAGCGCTCACAGCAGACCCCTACCCTACGGCTCTAAACTGCCCTTGGCAGTCCGGGTGCAGCGTCACCGGACTTGATCCAATGTTCGTCGGTTTGGGTTTAGGGTTGAGGTTTGTTGCGTAGCAGAGTTCGAGGCTTTTGATGCCATACATACTGAACCTCGTCCAAGTGCAAAACACTAAACCATGGCAAAGCAGAACAAATTTCTGCAAAACCTGGCCAAAGCCGAAACCCGAAACCCAAAGCTTGGACCTACTGTAGAAGCCTTGATAATTACCTGCACTATGTTGATTTTGATTTTTGTTCTGTTTTAATTTTGTATGATGGGCCCTTCCGATCATTGAGGTGCCTGTAGTACACCCCGAGCCCTACTTGGAGGTTCATGGGTAGCTATAAGTAGGGTTATACGTAGGATAACTATACTTATAACCTGGATTAGGGGACTTCTAACCCCACTTATAACTACCCATGAACCTCCAAGTAGACCCTACACCCTATACCCTTATGGAATCCCTAGAGATCCCTTTAAAGGGACCCTTAAAGGAACCCTTATAACTACCCATGAACCTCCAAGTAACCTCCAACTCCCGCAGTTGGGACTCTAGGTCCACCTGCGCTCGAAGTAGCCTTCTGGTCGGAGCCCTGGGAGAAGGGTTCCTAGGATGCCCAGTAGTACCCTTATTCCCTTTTTGTAGTCCTAGGTTCCTTATAAAGTTACCCAATACCAAAAAGAGAGGCCTTTTTATTCTTAGGTTACTGGTATCCTGATGATATAAATCCAGCATTACCCATAATAAGGAATATACCATAATTCCCATAGATTAGGGTCCCTAAGGTCATCCAGGATTTGTATCATCAACAGTAGTCGTCGAGTAGGTAACCTTTAAGCGGGTAGTATAGTCCCTGTATAACCCCCATAGAGCCAAAAAGGTTTTAGGGATCCTAGTATAGTTTAAGGTATACTCCTTCATTAAGGGATATTGGAGTCTCTGGAATCAGGAGGCTCGCCGCCGCAGTACCAAATTTGAAGACCCCAAGCAAAAAAAGGACTTGGCGCAGCTCTAATAGCACAGTGGGGGTTTAGGGTTTGGGGTATAGGGTTTCCTTTAAAGGGCTCTAACGGGACATTGGGGGTTTAGGGTTTGGGGTATAGGGTTCGCTTTAAAGGGTTCCTTACAGGGATCTGTAGAATACTTGCGGCCCATTATACTATAATGATAACAAGGAACCCCCGAAATAGTATAGGTAATTATTTAGGCTCCTAGAGTACCGATACCGAGGGCACCGCGCTGATGCGTGTAATCGTAGTAATTAGTAACGATGGTAGTATTTACAATAGCAATACTGCTAGACCCCAAGCCATAGACCCGGAACCCCCTACCCACCCCAAATCCCGAACCGGAAATCCTGAACAAGCCCCAACCCCAAGCCCACAGGTCTACCATCCGACTCTTCTTTTTTGAGGATTCCAAAACAGCCCTCAGTTGAAGAGATTATACTCTCGCTATACACATGTATATATAACTATACTGTACTATACTATACTATACCACAATACTACGCTATACGAGACCATAATATTGTACTAGACTATGCTACATATACTTCACTGTGCTATGCTGTGCTGCAATATACTGCCTGGCTAGGGTTCAAGATTTGGGCGTACAGTGAACCCCATAAAGTTGGAAACCGGATTAAGGCCAAATAGTGTGGGGATTCCCTATATATGAGTCTTAAGGAATGAGGCTATTGGGCTTCCAACTTTTAGGCTTCTACAATAGGGTTCAAGGTCTGGGGTGTTTCGGTTCAGGTTCAAGCTTTAGGATTTTGGGTTGTGGGTTTAGGGTTCAGGGTGCGAGATTTTGGCTGTTGGGTTCAAGGTTCAGGCCAAGGCTTTATGATTCCCCCATCACGGGTTTTCGAAGCAGACAGGAGCCTTGATCAATGATTGTAATTGTAGTTGATTGCATGTGCAGGTGGATCGTAGTATGATTTTGATGGACTCCATGGGGTTCTACACCGTGAGCGCCTTAGCTGAGATTGCCGTGCTCATAAATTGTTTATGAACGGATTACAGAGTCGCTGACCATTAGAATGGACATCAGACTGTAAGCCACAAGCATTGAACCCGCCAGCACGGCCTATGTTCTGAGGCCCAGGCCTCTACAATCCAGAAGCCTTAAACCCTAAGCTTGAAGCCCCAAGTGCCAATCCCTGAAATCCTTAAACTCAAACGTGGAGACCAGGCCGCTGTGCGAGAAGATGGGCGTGCCTTGCAGTATGCCTCGCCGTATCAGGCAGCGGTGGTGCACAAGACCCTAGCCTTCCTAAGACGACTCTTAAAGGGGGGGTTTCCGAAAATAGGGGACCCTAATATGGTACCTTAAATAGTAGGATCCTTATTATAAGGACCCCCAGAATAAGGTACCCCTAATTTTCGGAAACTCCCTAATAGTACCGTTCTTACTATTCGTAATATTACTAGTCTCAGTTTTGTTCTTGTTGCTGGCGTTGCTCTTAGTGCTAGTCTTGTTCTTAATGTTTGCATTGTCTTGTTCTTGCTGTAGGTGTTATTGCTGTTGTTGTTTTCATGTCCATCAACCACTTCGTCGTCAATATAGATACTCAGTTGTGATCATGGGCAGGCTACTGTTACAACACAAGGTTATCAGTTTCTCTATTGTCATTGCTATCACCAACATATGTACGTAGTCCTCTTGGCATCTTCATGTGGACCCCACCAGCCCGTACCTCCAGCCATTTTGCTTACTGACACGGCGGGTGTTGTTTTTGGGCAGTTTGTCTAGGATGCCCAGTAGTACCCTTATTCCCTTTTTGTAGTCCTAGGTTCCTTATAAAGGTACCCAATGCTAAAGAGGGAGCCCTTGTTATTCCTAAGTTACCGGGCATCCTAGTGTTGTCGAGGAGTGAATATGACAGTACATCTCAACATTTGGAAGCCCAGTCCCTTAAACAGCCTAAGTCGGTTCTAAGTAGGGTTATAATTGCGGCAACTCCATTTAGGGTATAGCCTACTTACTAAGCCCCCTGGGCCTCTAAGTAGTGGTTGTAAGTATCCCTCCAATTCAGCGCTTACGGTTTGGGATTAAAGATTTCGTGTCGGCGTTAAGAGTGTGTGAGTTTTCTGAAACTCTTGAATCCTTATCACCAGCCTGCAACTTGTCATTCACAACATTACCAACATCAGAGACCGTATTCTAATTTCTACGAGGATTACCGTAAACAGTGGCACTGCTTCGCCGCATTGTTATGACTGCCCTAAACCCTAAACCCTGAACCCTATACAAAGGCATGTTTAGCCGCATTGTCATGACTGCCCTAAACCCGAAACCCTAACCCTATACAATGGCATGTTTAGCCGTGTTGATCAGCCGGGAGCCAATGCTGCTCTTTTGAATCGGGAGTTTCCGAAAATGAGGGGTACCTTATTTTGGGGTCCTTACAACAAGGATGCTGCTATTTAGGGTACTATATTAGGGTCGCCCATTTTCGGAAACTCCCAATTCTTTAACATGGGAACAGTACCCCGCAAAGCCTTAGCTCTATGCAAATCCTAAAGTTATAGGGTCCTTAAGGGAGGGTGGTTCAAGGGGGGAGGGTAGAAAGGATCCTTAGGGAACCTTAAGGGAACCTTGGGGAGCACTAGAGAGAACTAGGGATTAGTAAGCTGATCTACCCCCTTTGGAGCCCCCTCCCATAAGGATATTGCACCCTCATCGCCCTTCATCTCCGGTTGAGTTTAGGGTCCCCAATGACTCCAATATCCCTTAATGAGGAAATATTCCTTAAATCATATTAGGGATCCTACTCTAATTTGAGGTCTATTCCTTAATTCAGGGATATTGGAGTGTCTGGGTCTAGGGTTGTTCAATCCCGAAGCCACAAGAGCATGTCAATACGTGGGCCTAAACAAACCCAATACTTAAAAGATCATGGGACTTAGTACCTAGGGTTATAACTTGGGTAACTCTACTTACAACCCCAATTAAGGTACTTAGAACCTTACTTACTAAATCCGATGACCCTGCAAGTAGGTTTGAGGTGTTTGCCGCGAAAGCCGCGCACGTCAACCATAAGAAGCCCGCGGCCGCGAAGTTCCAGTTCCCCCAAAACCCAAAAAGCTACCAAAAATGTTGGGGCCTTGGGTTCAGGAATTACGTGTAGCCGAAAAGACCTACCTTTTTAGGGCTCCCTATTATGGTTGATTTATATATACATATGTATATTTATATGTATGTATGTATACATGTATGTATATAGTTCCTTTCTAGGTAGGCCTTTTCGGCTACAGGTAGGGATTCCCCCACGCCAGGGCGACAAGGAGTTGGTCTTGACGGCAGTGAGTCAGCAGGGGCCCCCCCTGGCCTGGTTTTAGCCAGCAGCTACCTATAGGGGCCTGAATATCTATACGATAGGAAACTCCCCTTGACGGGGTGTATAAGGGCGATTTGAAGGATTTTAGTATAGGGGCCTAAATTATTACCGATACTGCTTTTGCGGGTTCCTAATTATAACTACAGGGAACTCCAGAAAGTTGGAATATGGATTAAGGGTAGGATACCCTATGATTTACCATAGAAGGGTTAGGATAATCATACTCCAACTTTCTGGCTTTTACCTTATGGGATCATGGGCCCAAAACCCTACTCTGATTATGAAGGTCCCTAGGCTAGGATCCGCCCTGCTTGGAGATCCGGGGCTAGTTGCAATATGGTAGTTTCCGAAAATTAGGGGGACCTCGTTTTGGGGTCCTTATAAAAAGGATCCTACTATTTAGGGTACTATTTTAGGGTCCCCTATTTTCGGAAACTCCCATATAGATTCAGTAGTTATACCTTTGGACATACATACTGCAAGATACCGCATACCCCCGAGCTAATGAGTTGCGGCAAATAGTGCCCTTTTCTAAGCCGGGCATCTAGAGCTGGAAGTAGTCACAGCCCCTAATTGCAAGTTGCATTGGGGGTGGTGGAAGTTGTTCTAGGCAGGAGTCGATGGCTCTCACTGCGTAGTCGAGAGGGGAGCTCGGTCTTAGCCTTTGTTGGGGAAGTAGGCTACTTAAAGGATCATGGGACCTAGTAACAAAGGTTATAATTAGGGTAACTCTACTTATAACTACTTATAACTCCAGTTAAGGTACTGATAACCTTACTAAGTCCCCTGATCCTCCAAGCATGTAAGGGGTTTCAGTCAAGGGTTTGGGGCGGGAGAATAATCCCCAACTGGGCCGTGTAACAATGAGGGATGCTAGTCCCCTCAGGGTCCTAAAGCGGGCGTGGAGTAGAAAGCCCTTCAAAGTCATAGTCAAGCTTGCGCCCCAGGGCTCTACCACTCGCTCCAGGGGTCATGGAGTCGCAGTGGGGCTAATGTAGGAACCTGATTAAGAAACCCTGTGCCCAGAAGCCAAAATAGTAGGATTCATATAGAGTACCCCAACCCTCATCAAGGCCCAAGGTGTCTTAATCAGATTCCTACGTTATAGAACCCTATAGAACCCTTATAGATCCCTTTAAGAAACATTGCACGGTTCGAGGTTTAAAGGGGTCAAAACCCTAAACCCTAAACCCTAAGGTTCTGGGGATTTAGCTTAGTCAGGAAACCCGACGAGGAGATCCAGGTTCCGTGCTTAGCGGTTTTTTTGGGGTTTAGCGATTTAGGGGTTTGATTTAGGGTTTAGGGGTTTTACCGGTTTAGGGGTTTAATTTAGGGGTTTAGGGGTTTAGGATTTAGGGTTTAGGGGTTTTACCGGTTTAGGGGTTTAATTTAGGGGTTTAGGGTTTAGGGGTTTTACCGGTTTAGGGGTTTAATTTAGGGGTTTAGGGTTTAGGGTTTAGGGTTTGGTGTGTCAGTGTTTCTGCAGGTTAATCCTGCTGGGCCGGCCGGTTAGGGTCCCGGTCGCGACAGCGCGTAGGGAACCCTTACTTGGAGGTTCATGGGTAGTTAAATGTAGGACAACTATGATTGTAACCTATATTAGGGGACTTATAACCCCACATACAACTACCCATGAACCTCCAAGTAGGAATTTGGAGCCCTCCCAAAACCGCTAATGCCTTAAACTCACGATGCTACCCCGGAGGTCCCTAACCCTAAACCCGCTAAAGAACCGCTCGGAAAATGTAACCACCCCGAAACTCCTGCAAAAACAGAAATTAAACCCTGCGCCTCTTCAAGTTCCTGACCTTCACACCCTGAGGCATACATCCCCAAAAGGACAAGGAGCTGTAGAAAAAGCTATTTCGTAAACTCCAGACTGCCAAATCGCAGCATCCGTTCAACGCCAGGGAAACGGTTGATGATATTAATCTTGCATTACCCATAAGAAGGAAGACACCATAATTCCCATAGTTTAGGATCCTTAAGGTAATGCAGGATCCTAACGAGACTTTCGAAAAGATGCCAGGTTGGCCCTCCAACACGCTTCGCCCTCCCTGCGTGGCGACGCGGAGGCCGCTTGGGGCAGCTGAGGTTGGTTCAAACAGTCAAAGGGGAAAAGGAGGGACCCTTAATGGGGGCCCCTACCCTAAAATGGGCTATATAATGTGTATATAATGGCAAAATGAAGGTTATATACCGAGGGGTCCTTAGTAAGGGTCCCTCCTTTTAGCCTTGGAATCAGAGCTTTTTGGAAAAGGACTTCGTGCATGTTTGCAGCGGTTTCATCAGGGTTTAACGACTTTATAGATCTTCACCGCAACGAGTGATGGACACATGTTCGCATGTACATACGCGGTTGTTCGCATGCATGCTTGAATGGTGGCATTGTGTGTCTGTATGTGTGTGTGTCTATTTGTCTGTCGGTCGGTTGGTCGATCAGTCGGTCGGTCGGTCTGTGTCTGTCTGCCTGCATGTCTGCCTGTCTGTATGCCTGTTTGCCTGTCAAAACATACATACATGCATACATTTCTGTGCATATGTGTGTAACCATAGAGACATGCATATGGGTGGTTGTCGATATTAAGGTCCCTTCTTGGGTCCCTGATATCGTACGGCACCTAATGTTTAGGGTACCCAAAAAGGGACCATAATTTTGACAACCACCCACATGTATATGGGCCATGCGTTACATTTCTGTAGCATGTAATGTTTTGCTCTGCGAGCCGAAGTTGGGTAGATTGGCCTTGCCCAAGATCACCACCCGAAGTGAATGTCTACCTACCCAGACTCCCGGGAGGATCCAAAAAGTAGATCCGTTAATGAGATACCCTTAGCAATATAGGACCTTAGGAGATCTACTTTCTAGATCCTCCCGGGGGTCTGGATATACTATTTTGGTGGGGGCTCCTGATTACAATGGACCGCAAAACTCTGTTCTAAGTATGAAGGCCCCTCTAGTACATGAATGTCAGGCCATCTTGAGTGGTTTAGCATTTGTCGCTTCAGGGCCCATGCCGCCAGATGGGAGTTTCCCACAAGTCGGGTACTTGATTCTGAGGCCCTTATAATATCTTATAATAAGGATCCTACTATGTAGGGTACTAGATTAGGGCCCCCTATTTTCGGAAGCTCCCAGATCAGCTGTACAAGCATTCCGTGACGGCTAACCGTAATCGTGACACTCAGGAACAAATACAGGAATTTCCAAGTGGATATTCCAGGAGCAAAATGCTATGAAAGCTCCGTCAAACTTTTACATGATGCCTCACTCATCTCTGGAACCCATGGTAAGCACTGCAAAGCCCAAGACATGTTGACGAGAAATCTTACCACCGTCTCAAAGCCCACAAGCTTCAATTTTTAGCCAGACTCACGCACACAAAAACTGGAAATCGCCGCTATTCGTTCTGCGTGCCTTCTTCAAACAAACAGAAAAGGCTAATGCAACTGTCGGATCCAACGATCTTCCCTGCTTGTCTTTGTATAGCTGTACTAGAATATGCGCCACAACTAGGCGAATTATAAAGGCTCTACATTACTTGACTCTTCGCTGGGCTACAATGCCCGAAGCCAAAATCCCGAAACCCTAAACCCCAAAATCCCGAAAACCCTAACCCCCTAAACCCCAAAAAACCCTAAAATCCCTAACCCCCAAAAACCCTAAAATCCCGAAACCTTAAATCCCTAAACCCCAAAATCCCGAAACCCGCAATCCCTAAACCCCAAAAGCCCTAAAACCCCTAAACCCCAAAAAACCCTAAAATCCCTAAACCCCCAAAAACCCTAAAACCCCGAATCCCGAAAACCCTAAAATCCCTAAACCCCCAAAAACCCTAAAACCCCGAACCTCTATCCGAGGGCCCTACGGTTGATGATATAAATCCTGCATTACCTTAAGGACCCTAAACTATGGGATTTATGGTATATTCCTTAGTATGGGTAATGCAGGATTTATATCATCACCCGTAGGAGACCCAATTCTGAAACTCTCCGGGCCCCAACCCCCAAACCCCACGGTCTAGGCGGTAGGTTTTTTTGGAGTTTTAGGATTCATTTAGGATTGATTTAGGGCCCATTTAGGATTCATTTAGGGCTCATTTAGGGTTCATTTAGGGCTCATTTAGGATTCATTTAGGGTTCATTTAGGATTCATTTAGGATTCATTTAGGGTTTAGGGGTTTAGAGTTTCGGGTTTGGGGGACTCCCCGACCTTGAGCATCCAGTAGAAAGTGCCAGGTGGTTCTCACCGCTGTCAAGCAGAACGGCCTCGCCTTTGGCCCCCTGGCCGGTTGCTTTTCAGGTGGAGGGTTCCTCTAGGATGCCCAGTAGTACCCTTGTTCCCTTTTTGTAGTCCTAGGTTCCTTATAAAGTTACCCAATACCAAAAAGAGAGGCCTTTTTATTCTTAGGTTACTGGGTATCCTAGGGACCTACTTGGAGGGGCAGGGGACAAAGGGCTATATAATATGGGTATAGAATACCTATATTAAGGGTATATACCTAGGGGTCCTTAGTAAGGGTACCCTTGAGGGGCAGGGGACTTAGTAAGTAGGTTATATGTAGAGTAAGAAGTACTAATTATAACGCTACTTATAAACAACTTACTAAGCCCCCTGCCCCTGCAAGCAGAGGAGGCCCTTATTCCCTGTTTTTAGGGTTCAGGTTCGTGGTTTATGTACGGTTTTCAGGTGTGCGCTATGGCTGAAACCGTGGCGACGATCCTGAGCGGAATGGTTAGGGCGATGCAGTCCAGGGTAGTGGTCCGCAAGCAGAAATGCTGGATCCAGCGTTTGTAGTTTCACTTCCCAGTGATGAATGAGAGGGTCGGGAATGTGGTGACATGGAGTATGTGCAGGTGATATTGCCAGTCTTCATGTTTTGAGTGTAAGCCAGTCTGCGGGACATGCAGCCCTCAACCCTGAGCCAGTTGTGTAACCTAGAAACTCAAGTTTATAAGCTGTTAACCCTTAGGGTACTATAATAATGTAGGGCTTTGATTAAGAAACCCTGGGACTTTGTTTCGGGTTCCTTTAAAGGGATCTATAAGGGTACTATAATAACCCCGAACCTTAAAATCCCGAAGCCTAACATGCTCAAACCACAAAGTGTAAGCCAGAAACCCGAAACGCTGAACCCCAAACCCAGCAGCCCCTAAAGCCCTTAAACCTTAAAACCCCAAAACCCTAAAACCCTTAAACCCGGTAAAACCTAGATTCAAGTCACCCAGATAAGCCCCTAAAACCCCAAAACCCTCCTAAAGCCCTTAAACCTGGTAAAAACCTAGAAGGGTGGTTGTCAATATTAGGGTCCCGTTTTGCGGTACCCTACGTACTATAATAAGGACCCAAAAATGGACCCTGATTTTGACAACCACCCAGATATCGAAAGGAATGGCCTCCCGGCTGCTGCGCTCCGACGCAACGGCCCAAGCTCGTGGCGAGTCTTCCGTGTTGTGTGGTTGAGGGGTGGGGAGGGGTAATATAGGGGCCGAAAATAATTACCAGTATTGTTCTTGGGGTTCCTTATTACAGTTGAACCTTAAGCCTGACACTCTGCAACCTGAAGTCTTTTGAGTTTGCGGCTTTGTTTAGTTCTTCACGGGACTGTTCATCACCCTAGGATGGCTTGCTCCTGGCCGCCGTGCAGCAGAATGGCCACTTGGCAAAACTGAGCATTGCGCATTCCAAGATTTCATGCCTTTACAAGTGACACGAAAATCACAACATCTTGGTGTCTAGAGGCATCCTCCCCGTGACGGCCCATTCGTGGCTTCCCTTCCTTGCTTCCACGGCAGCGCGCCGCCATTCCAGCTACGTATTTCCATTTATTGAAAAACAGACTTCAGTGAAATTGGCTCACAACACTTTGGGACTTTGGGTATCCAGTGTCCGTGTCGAGCCTTCCATTTTTTCGACGCTCACCTGGGAAGGTTCTTCGCCCACCCGTTTCCACAGAAAGGACTCGGGAACAAGTGGCCCAACTGCCAAAAGCCAAACGTGCTCCCGGCATTAACGGAAATAAACACAGCTCCTGGAATCCTAATGTACGGGTCCTGAAAAGCAAGACCTACCATGAACTACCGTACTTACACCATTGCTGCTGCCACCAGCACAACACCCGAACTGCTGCTGCTGCTGCTGCTACTGCTATTGTTACTACTACTCCTACTGCTACTACTGCTACTACTACTACTACGACTACTACTACTACTACTACTACTACTACTACTACTACTACTACACTACCACTACACTACCACTACCACTACCACTACTACCACTACTACTACTACTACTACTACTACTACTACTACTACTACTACTACTACTACTACTACTACTACTACTACTACTACTACTACTACTACTACCAGTATCACCATTACTGCTACGACTACGACTACTCCTACCAGTTCTAGTAATACTAATACCATCACCACCACCACCACCACCACCACCACGATGCTTCTGCTGCTGCTGCCCTGCTGCTTCTGGTTGGTAAAAACACCTCTTCGCTTACTACGACGACGGCGGCAGCGATGACTATTATGAACTACAGCTGCTGATCATGCTGCTGCTTTTCTTATCCCTGCCGCCAGTCATAGCACCTTCATGCTGACTCTGCATAGCATCACCATACACACCATGAGCATCAGCACCAGCAGCCACATCAACATCTATCCATCGGGGTTGCTCTGCTTTGTGTTCAGTAATGTCTGCTTTCTTTACCGTTCATGGAAGTTTAACCTGATCCGTAGTCGTATGGCCAATTGCCATGGAGTAGCAGAAGTGTGCTCGTTTAGATGCATGTTCCTGTCTCCCCGCTGTCCGTGGTCGTCGGAGTTGTGGCATCACAGTATGAATGCTGGCCGTAACAGCAGCGATTCAAACAGGTGTTAGCTGCAGCAGGAGAAGGAGGAGGCGTAGTAGTTGCGTGTCAAATTTATGCTTTAATGATACTTGTGTACAACGGTTGATGATATAAATCCTGCATTACCCATAATACGGAATATCCCATAATTCCCATAGTTTAGGGTCTCATCAACAGGAGCAGGGATGTTTTTTTTGCGGATCCCGGTGAGATCAGGACTGGCCCTGCAGCATGCGCTGCGAAGACAAAGAAACTGCGCCTTCCCCAAACTGGTTTTTTAAGGGCTCCTTCAAAGGGTTACTATAAGGGTTCCTTAACTACTATTTGCTTAAGAACCCCCCAAAAAATAAAAAATAATAATCCCTATATTATCCCTATAAGGAATATATTTTTTATTTTTTGGGGGTTCTTAAGCAAATAGTAGGTTACTATAAGGGTTCCTTAAGGGGATCTACAAGGGTTCTATTAAAGCATTTAGAAGTTTAGGGAGTTTCCGAAAATAGGGGATCCTAATATAGTGCCCCAAGTAGCAGGATCCTTATTGTAAGGACCCCCAAATAAGGTAGCCCAAGCTTTCGGAACCTCCCAACTGGCTTAGGGGTTCAGGGTTTAAAGAGATGTTCCTATGATGTTTGAAGATACGATATTGTCTTACATTCTACTGTGTTATATCACACAGGATGGGCCAGGATCCGAAGCGTTCGGGTCTCATACGGTTTCGCACAGTCTGTTCGTTTCTCTATCCTACTACCTACTATAGCAATGTGTACATCTATGTTTATGCATACAGCTGCGTACACATCCACACCTTTGCTGCATGCGTAGGTGTATATTCGTATATGCGTACATATACTTTGGTAATCTTTGTACTTAGTTCTGTGTTTGTCTGTGCCTGTGGAAGTGCTGCAGGGTGCGCAGGCATTTGCCGAGTACAGGATATCTCGGCCTGTGAACCAGGACCTGCTTAGCAGTTGTAATGGATGAAGACTACAAAGGCACTCTTGCTACCGTTCATGGACCCCAAGCATCCCAAACCCTAAAACCGAAATCCTAAACCCTTAATTATCCCTAAAGGCAGGTGGAAAAGAGGGTTTTAAAAGCAGAAAACCTAAAGGCCCTAAAGGCCTTAAGCCCTAAACCCCCAAACCCTAAATCCGAAACCCCAAAGCCTAAATCTGCGACGGGCATCCCCAAAGCTGAAATGTCAGGCTCCGGCACATAAAGTAAAGTAGTTGGCGTTGAGAACATGCCCTAATCCAAAACGCTAAATCCTCAGCCCTCAAACTTACATTTTCCGAGGAGTCGAGTAGGTAACCTTTAACCTTTTGTGGGTAGTATAGTTCCTATATAATCCCTATATAACCAAAAATTCCTAAGAAGGCCTTCATGCAGGCACTACGAAACTCTACATGGTACCAAATATCCAGAGTAATCTAAGCCTTTCTACGAAAGCACCAGAGCCCTTCATAAACACAAACAGCGGCCTCGTATAGAAACTGAGAGCCGCTTCATACAGCCCGACAAACTTGGAAGAATGAGCCTATGTAGCAAATCCTTAACCGCAAGCCTGAACCTTAGCAGCCGCGCTAAGGTTGGCCCATCGCCGTGGCTGCAGTGGTGCAATGCGGGCCGGCCTGGTCCCCAAGCGGGTGATGTTCAAGAGCTGTCGTAAGTACTATAAGGGCCTAAATAATTACCAATACTATTTTGGGGTTTCCTTATTATAGTTGTAGTATAACATACACCAAAACTCTATTCTAATTATTGAGGCCCCTATTTGTAGGCTTCCGAACGGATTCAGAATAGCGGCTCATGGCGGGAAGTAGGCGAGGGCCGTCCTGGGGGAATGGTCCTCATAGGGCTGAGTTGAGGCTCTCATGGTCAGATTCAGAACACCTGAAAGGGGCTTAAGAAAGACTTCTGAAACACAGCTCCTCGGGCTTAGAGTCCATATGTGCTTATGCTACAAAAATTCGAAAACCCTTCACTGGTGGCCAAGTCCTTCGGCACCGGCGCTCCCCCACACCAGCGATGCCGAGAATGCAGACGCCGCCAAGCTATGAAGATTTGGTTGTGCGCATCGCTTTTCTTGAAGCCGACCGCCATGCCATCGTGCAGGAGGCGTTGGACATGCTACAAGAATTCCGTTAGGAAAAGGACCTCCACATCGCCGCCTGAGAAAGCTTGCTTTCACCTGAGCCTTGCAACCCCGAAGCCCTGTTCGAATCACGTGCGTATAAGGCCCGCTGCAGCAGAGGTAGTGCGTGGTTGGTCTTCGGGACTATTTTGAGACTGCCTTAGGTGCCATGGTGCAGGATTGAAGCTGATTATCTCGGTATTTCCTGAACTTATGCTGAATATAGTTCTACTTGGCTTTTATACTATATGTATAATGTGTTAGTTCATGTTATGTTGCTTTACACTATGTTATGTTTTCAGATTATGCTATGCTGTATTATATGATAGCACATTATGGTATACCAGATTACATTGCTCGAGTTACTTTTCTGCCATTTTTCATACTATGTTAAACCACATCATGTTATGGTATATCTTGCTATGTCATATTATGCTGTAATGTGTAGTGTTATACTACATTACACGGTCTCACATTATGCTAAAGTATAGAAAAGATGATGCTTGACTACCAGGGAGGTCGAGCCCTAGACCCTGATTGCTGAATCCGACATCGAGGGACCCTGACCCAACCCCTGGCTTTCTAGAAAGCTAGGGTTTCGGGTTTAAGGGTTTAGGGGTTGCAGGTTTAGGGGTTTAGGGTTTAGGGGTTGAAGGTTTAGGGGTGTCGGGTGTAGAGTTTACGGGTTCAAGGTTTAAGGGTTTAGGGTTTAGGGCTAGCACCCCAAAGAGCCACCGAGAAGCAAGGCCCCCGACCTTAAACCGCATTTGAGGCTTTCGGGGTGTGGGCAATAGGGATTTAGGGTCTGGGGATTGCGGGTTTGGGGGGTTTAGGGTGCAGGGTTTCGGGGTTTAGGGTTCAGGGGTTAGCAAAACCCTCAACATCAGACCAAAAACAGCACAAATGATCGAACAAAGAGCAGCACCTAAGAAGACACACAACCCTGAAGCCTAGAACCCTGAAACCCAACCGTAATCCAACATGATCTCCAAGCTTCGTTTTATGAAAACTTGTCGCAGCCCAACAGCATACTCCAACTGTCCGGGGTTTAGGCTCGGGGTGAACTGCAAACATCCATGTGCATCCACGGTTTGCGGAAGAAGCCTCATGGGCTCGTTCTGGTCGTGATAATCTATGATAAGCTATGATGAGCAAAGCCCAACAGAAGTTGCCAAGCATCCATCATAGGGACCCTTAGGGGGGCAGGGGAGAATGCCCATAATCAGGACCTAATAAGTAGTTGAGGAAGTATAGTCCCCTACCCCGCTCCCCCTACCTCCCTAAGGCTAGGATGCCCAGTAGTACCCTTATTCCCTTTTTGTAGCCCTAGGTTCCTTATAAAGTTACCCAATACCAAAAAGGGAGCCCCTTTTATTCGGCATCCTAGAAGGGTCCCTATGAATCCAAGGCGCTGCAGTTCGTCTCGCCCTACCTAAGAGACAGCTTGGAGCTCGTCCTCTTTGCGATACAGCAGGCCCGACCCGACGTAATGTAGGGCCGGGGTTTAGGGTTTAGGGTAATGTAGGGGCCTTAATAATTAGGATAGGGTTTTGGGGGGTTTCCTTATTATAGTTATAAGTATAATACACCCGGAAATCCGGTTCTATTCATTGAGACGTACGAGCAAAAGGCAAATAATGTAGGACCCTGATCAAGAAACCTTTTCATCAATTTGGGTTTATAGGCCCAGGGTTTCTTGATCAGCTTCCTACATTACTAGGGTTGGGGGTTTGGGGTGTAAACTACTCAGGCCATACAGAAGCCTAAACAGCTACCAATACTGTTCCTAAGGGTTCCTTGTAAGTATTCCGCGATGTGCTCCAAAGCCCAATTCTAACTATTACTGCCCCTGCATTAGAGGTTTGCGTGGTAAACTACTGCTTGATCGTCCGCGTCAAACTATACTAGAAAAAAAGGTTTGTCTGCCAGGCTTCGCATGGGAGTTTCCGAAAATAGGGGACCCTAATTAATATAGTGCCCTAAACAGTAGGATCCTTGCTATGAGGACCCCAAAATAAGGTACCCCTATTTTCGGAAACCCCCACATGGTTTTACTTGGGCAGACATATGGGCTTCGGGGTAAGTATAAACCGGCCCACTAAGCCTCCTTTCTAGGATTCGGATCCGTTGAGAATCATGAGGGGGGATAAATCAGAGTCCGCAGTAATGGACTTTTTCTACTAACCCTACACCGTAAACCTCAAACCTATCTCCCTGAACCCTGAAAGGATTGATGCGTACCGTTGGGGGTCTACTAGGCCGTTTGATTGAAAGTCTCCAAGCTTAGAGGACGGAGAGACTGCATGAAAATGGTGTCCCACCCCGTGAAGCTTTTGAAGCACCCTCTTGCCTTATGCCAACCTGATTCACTCCGCTGCCTCAGTTGCTGAAAAGAAAGCGACGGCAAAAGCTTGGCAGGAACACCTCTGCAAGCAATAAGTCAACGGTGGTGTTCATTGGCACTTGCGCGCTGGCAAAGCGGCGCCCCTGGGTCAAGCATTCTCTGCGTCGTCATTCATGACAAGGATAATAGTGAAGCTACCGGCCACAATTCCGCTTGGCTCAGCTTGACCCTTCAGTTGCGATGGCGATGGCCCAAGACGTTCATAAGGACTTTGGCTCTTGCATAGGAAGCCTGCATACAGCAAGGACCATCTCGTCATTCGGACCGACAACACGACTGCACAGACCAAAAATGCAGAGATGGCGAACGACCTTCAAGTTTCAGTCACACTCCTAAAGCCCCCAAAAAATTCCAAACAAACCTGCACAACCCTAATTAGACCCCAAAGCCAAATCCGCGAAAAACCCTAGAACCCAGAACCCCAAACCCTGAGACTCTGAATAAAGCCTCTGAATCATTAAAACCCACCCAAAAAAAACAAGCTCGAACAGGCCCCAAAACCCCAACCCCTCCAAACCCCATAAAAAGCCCCAAGAAAATCATAACCCCCAAACCCCGAAACCGTAGAAGGCCCTCCCATAAAAAGAAAAACTTAACCCCTGAACCTCAAATCCTCCATACTCCCTGAAAGGCCACGAAAAACAATGAAGTCACCCCTCCAGTATGCATATACATATATATATATATATATGCATTAAATATACATTATAAATACATTATGTAAACATTATATATACATATATACAAGATGTACTTGTTTGTATATATATATATATATATATATATATATTAATGGACTATATAGTATATAGATCAGGACCCCGCTGCCCTGGACTTCGCCTCGGAGAGGGTCCGCAGCGGCCCTGGGGAGCGGTGCGTCAGAAAACGTCGGGAAGGGATTCGCCAAGGGGTCCTAGGGCTCCTTTAAAGGGACACCCTAAGGGTTTTCTAGGGCTCCTTTAAAAGGGATGCCCTAAGATTCCTAGGGTTCCCTTAAAAAGGGATACCCTAAGATTCCTAGGGTTCCTAAAGGGATGTCGGGATGGGTTGAAACCATGGGCCCCTACTTAAAGGATCATGGGGTTAAAATTAGGGTAACTCTACTTATTTCTACTTATAACCCCAAGTAAGGTACTGATTCGCTAAGGGTCCTAGGGTTGATGATATAAATCCCTAGGGTTCCTTTAAAGGGATGCCCGAATTTTAGGGGTTTAGGGTTTAGGGATTAGGGGTCTCGGGTTTAGGGGGTTTAATTTAAGGTTTAAGGCTTCGGGTTTAGGGTTTAAGGTTTACCCTGAGGGTCCGAGGGATACCATACGAACTGTTTGAGCCACCGGTTGAAGGCGAATCTGGTGGACAGGAGATTCCAGACGAACCACCGGATGGCAAGGCCGCACGCCTCATTCGAGAGGCCGCCTGGAGACGACCATCGTCTTGCTCATTATCCGAAAAATCCGTATTGCCGCATTTGCATGCAATCACGCATGTATGCCCGTCGGGTCAACCTCCAACTGAGGCCTTCGGAGAGAGAACTGCAGCGGACATTATCGTTGTTATGAAAACATCAAGTGATGATAAGGAGGCCACTGTGTTAGTCGTCCGTGACGAGCACACCGGATTCATCCGTGCGTTTCCATTGCGTCGCAAATCCACTGAGAATGTCGTGCGATGTCTATTGCAGTTCATCGGCAAACATGCCGACCATGGCCCCACTGTCATCTTCAAAAGTGATTGTGCCAAGCAGCTCGAGGGTGCATGTCTTCAGATGTCATGGGTAGCAGAACCCACGCTGCCCAACAAGTGGCCCCACAACTCTGTTTCAGAGAGAGACTGAAATTAATAGTGTTAATAATGCTAATACTGATATTAATACTAATATTAATACTAATATTGATACTTATACATAAGAACCCTAGAGGAGGTAACTCGAGCTGTTCAGCTCCAAAGCCGGTCCTAGGGTTTAGGCCTCAGTGGTTAGGGGTTTTACGGTTTAGGGTTTTTTTTTAGGGTTTGGGGGTGTTAAGGTTTATGGGTTTTAGGGTTTAGGGTTTAGGGTTTTTTTAGGGTTTATGGTTTTTTTAGGGTTTGAAAATTTAAGGTTTATGGGTTTTAGGGTTTGGGGTTTAGGGGGTTTTAGGATTTGGGGTTGACTAAGGGTCCCAGGGTTCCTCTAAAGGCTTCCTTTAAGGCATACCACAAGGGCGTGCTAGGGTTCCTCTAAGTGAAATCATAAGGGTCCTACGGTTGATGATATAAATCCTGCATGACCTTAAGGACCCTAAACTATGGGAATTATGGTATATTCCTTATTATGGGTCATGCAGGATTTATATCATCAACCGTAGGGTTTAGGGGTTTACATACATGTTTAGGGTTTCGGGTTAGGAGTTTAGGGTTTAGGGATCACTAAGGGTCCTGGGTTCCTTTAAAGGGTTCGTTTAAGGGACATAGGGGGAACTATCAGGGTGTAATGTAAGGGCCTTAATAATTACCTGTTTTGGGGGGTTCCTTATTATACTTACAGTAGCTCGGGGCTTAGGTTGAAACGTTCGTTGGAGAATCTAGGTTTCCGAGTTGCCCCCTCATAACAAGGGTACCCTTGTTCCTACTATTTGGTTTGCAGAACAGACCCAGGGCAAATGGGTATTGCTGGTCGGTGCTTTTTTGCGGGGTGTGTCAAGGGTTCTGTAGTTTTGGAGGACGACTATGGTTTTGTTGTAAGAAACTGTAAAGGGATTTCCTTCCTAAGCCCGTCCAGAACCCTAAAGGAACATTGAAGCCACTAAAGGAACCCTTCGACGGTACACATTGTTACTGCTGGACCTATGATTCCGACCCTAAGACAAGAAAGAAAGCCCCGAAGGATCTTCAGGTGTATCCCTTTGTAGCCCCCATACAAATATACCATAATAGCCCCGCAGCTCTATTCTAATGAGCCCTTTATGATACTCTCCCTATACAAACATACTACAATTGTCCCCAATCCTTATTCTACTTATAAAGTATACTCCAAATAAGTCACCCTAAAAACCTGCATCTAATTATAAAGTATACTTTGCCGGTACTAATACTACCGTAAACCCTGAACCCCAAACCCTAACCTTGAACCCTAAATTATAATTTCCCCTGGTCTCAGACCTTCCGCTTACTAGTTGCAAGGTGGCTCGAAAAAGTAGAAGCGAAACATATATATGTATACATGTATGCAAAGTAAACCCGAAACCCCGAGGTGGGCTGCTCGGGGGAGTCCTGCGTGGTGAGGACCAGTTCTACGGCTATCAGGTGCCCTGTAGGGTCTTTTTGTCGGGTCTTAGGAGTTTTAGGGTGTTTTTAAGTTTCGGAGTTTTGGGGTGGGCTTTAGGGGTTTTAGGTGTTAGGAGGTTTAGAGTTTGGGTTTCTTGTCAAGGTTTCATAGTTTCAGGAGGGAGCTGAAAGGTTCACAACGGTCTACAGTTGCTTACGGCGGAATGGGGTGAGGCACAAAACATACTTGAGAGGCTTGGATGACCAAAAAAGGTGTCGAGGCGTGTCTTACGCCACAGGTTCGGAGGCAAAACATGCAGATTGTCAGTTGGTTTTGGCATAGAACGTAACATCTGGGCTTTCTAAAACGCTTGACAACTTTGCAAATAGAGGAGAACCTTTCAGGTCAGATGTCAAAACCCTGAAAGTTCAACTGACTTGTCAAAACAAACATTTCAGAGAAAGCGCAGTCTCCTGCTACTCTATCATTATTTTGCTACTTGGAGGTTCATGGTTAGTTACAAGTAAAGCTATAAGTCCCGTTAGTACTAATATAGGTTATAACCATAGTCTAATAGTTATCCTACTTGTAACCCTACCTATAACTACCAATGACCCTCCAAGTATGCTTAGCCATGCTTTTCCGGTCTGAGTATTCTGTTTGTCACTATTGTTGCTTCTTTGTTGCGTCCTTGCTGTCGCAACTGTTGCCACAAGTGATACATGTTGGTTATCGACGATATCAGTCTTGTTGTTCTTTCCTTTTTTGTCCTGAAGCCAAACCCCAAAACCCTCAAGGCCTGAACCCCGCAGCCCTCAAACCCTAAGCCTAAACCCCAAGATAGATTCCAAAAAGAGCCCTTGCAGAAACCCTGAAACCCTATAGACACCCTCCAAGGAGGTTAAAGCCCAAAAGCGTTCAACAAGTAGGCCTCAACAGTCTAAAACCATAAACCCCAGAACCCCTGAACCTCAAACGCTCCGTTTATAGAAGTTTTTAAAGGAACGCTCAATCCATACAGAAACCCTTGAGCCCGAATCTCGGCAAAAAGGGCAGGCTTCAACAATCAAAAACCTCTAAACCCCAAATCCCCTACCTGGAAAAACTAAAAAAGCCTAAGAACAATCAGGGCCCTTACAAAACAAAATAAAACTCCCCAGAATCTATTCTCAAACAATCTAATCTCAAACCCCTAACAAAGACTAAGTAGAAGCAAGGCCCTTACAAAACAACATAGAACCCCCAAAAAAAATCCAAACCCCTCAAAAACTCTCAGAACAATCAGGGCACAAAATAAACGCCCGAAACCCTTAAGACAAATCAGTGCCCTCCAAAACCCAATAGAAAAAGAAGAAGCAGGGCCCCTAAAAAAAACCTAAACCCACCAAAAATCTCCATCCCCTCAAAAGTACATAAGAAGAGGCAACGAAAAACCCAAACCCTAAGACAAATCTCAAAAGCCCTAATGCAAAAGGAAGAAGCAGGGCCCTTACGAAGCAAAACAAATCCCCAAAAAAAATCCACACCCCTTAACAACCCTAAGAAGAAGCAGTGGAAAAAAATCCAAAACCCTAAGGCAAATCAGGGCCTTCAAAAACCCAAAAGCACCGAAATCCCATCAAAAAACGAAACAAACCTAAGAATCCTAAAAAAAAATGATAGAAAAACCGAAGAAGAAGAAGCAGGGGGAGCCCCTGGAGCGGATGGCCCGCTCCATGACCTCCACGGAGAGCACCGCCTCGGATGTCGAGGCTCAGCTGCGGCTTATAGTAGAAGCAATATACTTTTTAGGGTTTTAGGGTTTATGGTTTTTGTGGTTTTGGGGTTTCGGGTTTTTAGGGCTTTTAGTTTTTAGGGTTTTTAGGGCTTTTAGGGTTTAGGGTACAGGGTTTAGAGTTCAGGGTTTAGGGGGTTTAGGGTTTTTGGGGTCCCAGGCTTCCTTGAAGGGATATCATAAGGGTCCTACTACTACTACTACTACTACTACTACTACTACTACTACTACTACTACTACTACTGCTACTGCTACTGCTAGTGCTACTACTACTACTACTACTACTACTAGGGTTCCTATAGGGGTATTGCAAATTTCATGGGTTTAGGGTTTAAGGTCCATGAATGGGGTTCCTCTGACAGGTTCTGTAGGGCCTTAGGTTTTAAATAGAGAAAACATTCCGGGTAAAGTAATTCCCGCAGCTTCCCATCATTTTGGAAAGGTTAAGTATGGTAAATATTCTAAATTTGTTGAATAAAGAAAAACCATTTAAAGGGCTCCTTGAATGGTGTTCCTCTGGGGGGGGGGGGGGGTGCCATCAGGATTTAGGGTTATGGGGGGCCTGACTAGTTAAAATGGGGAATATGGGTATTCGGTCAGGCAAGATACAGGAAAGAGCATTGGTAATTGTTCATGTTTGAAGATAAGGGTAAGGAAATGTAACATAGCACAGTGTACCATGAAGTAGTATGCTGTGGGGTAAACATGTAGGACAAGGCCGCAAAAAGGTCCAGGGGTCCATATTAGGGCCAATACTTGTAACCTTAGAAAACAAGCCGAGGATTCGCATACCTAGGCCTTATTAAGTCCTTATTATTGGTAATGAGGCCCCCTGCCCCCCTTCCCCCTACCCGCCTAAGGGACCCTATGAAGAGAGCAATCCCATAAACCCTAAACCCTAAGCCCCATAGATCCCTTTAAAAGGCCCTCTAAGGGACCTTATGAAGAGAACAAGCCCAGGACTCTCTTGGGGACGTCATCAGCAGCGGTGACGAAGCCCAAGACGAGGCCGACGTCCGAAAATAATTCAGCAGCCAAGAATGATGATACTGTTGATTCAAAGGGGAAAAGGAGGGAACCTTAATGGGGACCCCTACCCTATAATGGGCTATATAATGTGTATAGAATGGCTATATTAAGGGTATATACCTCGGGGTCCTTATTAAGGGTCCCTCCTTTTACCCTTGGATTGATGGCCAAAATCCTGCCTTACCCTTTATAAGGAATATACCATAGTTCCCATAGTTTAGAGTCCTTAGGGTCATGCAGGATTTTGTTCATCAACAGTACGAGTAATCATAATCATAATGGTAATGGTAATAGTAGTAATCATAATCGTAATAGTAATAATAATAATATCAATAATCATTGGAGTAACAGTAAAAGCACTAATATCAAAGGCGGCTGACTGATAAGGAGGTTCCCTTGTGCACCCCATGTTAGGTCAACGTTGGGGCGCTAGTGACTGTTGATTTCAGGGTTCAGGGCTTTGGTTTAAAGGCTTGAGCCTGACAGTAGATCTCTGATTTACGACCCCGCCTTCCCGAAACGAGGACCATGAGGAAAGCCTGCGGTGTACATGACTAGAGGTTACGGCTTCAAAACTTTGTCTTGTACCCAATCTTATCTGTGTTCAGCTCTCCTCCTGAAACTTTCAGCTGTTATTTTACCCAGTCTTGGATAACCCAACCCTACGCCCTAAATTCCAAGCCCGAAGCCCTCATTTAGAACTGCGGGGGAAGGACATCTGGCTGGGGCTCAGACGTTTTGGGGCGTAGGATGCCCCTCATTACTCTCCCCAGAACCGTGGCACAAGGTTGTTTGTCGCTGTTCGCTGAATGCGAACCGAGGAACGCAGAGATCGTCCTGAGTTGGGCAGGCTGACTTGGATACAATCGCTACCCCAAGCACGGACTGGGAGCGCAGAAAATTATGGTCCCCTTTTTGGGAACCCGAAATATTAGGTTCCGTGCCATATTCGGGACCCAAAAAGGGGCCATAATTTTGACAACCACCCATATAGGGAGTAGAGTTAAGGGCTGGCTGCCTTGATTGATGGGCGGCAGGTGCAAAAGGTGGATTGCATCAGCAAAGCGATATGGGTGGTTGTCAAATCTATGGTCCCTTTTTTGGGTACCCTAAATAGTAGGTGCCGTACTATAATATGGACCAAAAAGGGACCATAATTTTGACAACTACCGATGTATATATATATATATATGCGTTGAGCAGAGCCTCATTGCTGTGCTAGCGGAGGACGATCTCTACTTGTCAGCTTGCACTCGCACGGTCAACCTGCGAGTATCTTTCAAATTCATTGGATCACGGCATAGCCCCATGATGCAGCAAACGAGAGTGGTGCCGACTCTTCCAGGTGGAAGACGAGCTCCTACAAAGTCCGGCTACAGCACGCTTAGCACTTCGACCGGACAATGCGCCGTTTGTTTCTTCGCCATGTGCGGGAGCACAGACAGATCAATCGCGATCGCAGCCAGCAACCAACCACAGTTCATCTGTCCTTTCCCAGACCCCCGGGAGGAACTAGACAGTAGATCGCCTAATTTGGGGCCCTATACTATTAAGGGTACTTTACAGGAGCCCCCACAAAAAGGGATCTACTTTTTGGCCGAAGTTGTGCCCGATTCAGTTTAGGGTTCTCTTCAGAGACTAGGACCCAGAGTAGGCCCTTATTCCCTTTTTTAGGGTTCAGGTTCCCTTATAAGCCCCTTAGAAGCAAAGAGGGCACCCTTTTTATTCCTAGGTTACTCTTGGGTTTAGGAGACAGTTGACATGATCCGTGGGAGTTCAGCCGCGACTGCTGCGCCTCTGATGAGAGTGCTTCTTAGTACCTGAGCCCCGTGACTAGTTCCCAGAGATTCCAATATCCCCTAATTCAAGAATTTTAGGGTTTAGGTTTTAGGGTTTATAATAGGATCCCTAATATGATGTACGGAATATTCTTTAATTAAGGATATTGGAGTCTCTTTGTTGCTTAGTCAACTTGCTTGCAGTGTCCCCGGCGGTACAGTGGGTACCCCGAAAACCCTAAACCTTGAGCAAAGAACCCATACTGCCATAAAGTAGGCGAGCGTTTGGGAGCCCGCCGAGAACTCCAGCATGCCCCTGGAGGCCAGGAAAGCCCGGAGACTCCAATATCCCTTGATTAAGGAATTTTCCTTAAAGCATATTAGGGATCCTATGATAATTTAAGGTATATTCCGTAATTAAGGGATATTGGAGTCTCTGGGTCGAAGGGGTTGCAACTTTGGAGTTCCGGGTTCTTTGTGGGGATTGAAGTTTCCTGGTTTTGAGTTAAAGGTTTCGGGTTTCGAGTTTAGGGGTTTGGGGTTTTGAGTTTAGGGGTTTGAGGTTTCGAATTTCGGGGTTTTTTGGGGTTCTGGGTTCAGGGTTTTCGGCTTCGGGGTGAGGAGGTGAGCGAGTCTTGGAGCGGGTCCCGGGATGTTATTCGTTTCTTTGGGATGGGCTAGCGATTACATAGTGGGCAGTGCACCTGCACCTGTGACCCGCGATGGGTGGACATTGAAGCTTTGAGGGTTAAATCGCGATGGAACATGTGTGTTCGCAGTCGAGGGGGAAGCCAATGAAAGTTGGTGAGCTGATAAGGGATTCAGCAGTTCCTTGTTCGAGTAGGCTGGGCATAGGTTGAGTGGGTTACTAGGATGCCCAGTAGTACCCTTATTCCCCTTTTTGTAGTCCTAGGTTCCTTATAAAGGTACCCAACACCAAAAAGGGAGCCCTTCTTATGCCCGGGTTACTGCGCATCCTAGGTTAAGATGTCGGTGACTGGAGGACTCCTTGGACATGAGGTTCAGGGTATATTTGCTACTATTTGCTTAAGAACCCCCCAAAAAATAAAAAATAATAATCCCTATATTATCCCTATAAGGAATATATTTTTTATTTTTTGGGGGGTTCTTAAGCAAATAGTAGTTTGGGGTGCTACGAGCGGAAGACCAGCAATGACAAGCATAGGCATGTGTGGTGTAGGGGTTAGGTTTAGGATTTTGGAGGGTGTCGGGAGTTTAAGTTTCAAGTTCTGGGGTTAAACTTGGATTGCCTTTGTAATTGTGGCTATATTCGGGCCTTGTTGCATGGATAGCCTGGGAGCATAGGTCCGAAACACCGAAACCCTGTTCTCCGAAAAGCGCCCGACCCCCTGCAGGCATGGCAGCCGCAATGAAGTCCGCTCACCCAGTAGCGGCAACAGCATTTTAGAAAAAGACGGATTCGCAACACATCCTTTCAAGCTCAGCAAGCAGGCCGTTTGAGATGAGGGTAGGATGTGGGTTCAGGGGTTCGGGTTGTAGGTTGTATGGTGCAAGCTTACGGCTGCAGCGGTTGGAGGTTTTCAGGAGGCCATTCCAATTACTATTGGGAATGTGTGGGTCCCCAAACCCTCCACCACAAATTCCTGACACCAAAGACTCTGAAACCAAGGAACCCCTCAGACTAGGAGGAACAAGAGCCCACAGAAAAAAAACAAACATATATAAACAAAATCTATTGGGGCCGCAATCAAATACCTCTACTAGTTTGGTGGTTCCAAGGAAACTATGTTATAATATGCTCCTGCTATTTAGGGTGTTACATTAGGGTCCTCTATTGTCGGAAACTCCCATATGGGAGTTTCCGAAAATAGGGGACCCTAATATAGTACCCTAAATAACAGGATCCCTATTATAAGGACCCCAAAGTATGGTACCCCTAATTTTCGGAAACTCCCATATCCGTGTTTGGGCCCCCTACCTGGTCAGAAGTACACGCTGTACCAAATGGGCTTTAGGGTTTAGGGTTTAAGGTTCAGGGTTAAGGGTTTAGGGTTTAGGGTTCAGGGTTTAGGGTTTAGGGTTTAACCCTATTCTGATTGTTAAGGCCCTTATTTATAGCATAAATTAGTATACTATGTCGCAGAACAGGGTATTAAATGTATTTCGATGTTTTATTACATGAAAGTTCGGGGCTTGAGCTTGTGCGTCTCAAGTAACTTGGCCAACGGGGCGTCCGAGGGTTGTTTAGGGTTTGGGGGTTCAGGGTTAAGGGTTGGTTCGAAACACATTAACTCAGCTAAGTTTCCCAGACGTACATGAATACCCTTGTTATTCTAGGTTTGCTGAATAACAGCAACAAGGGTACCCTTATGATTAAGGAAGCTTAAGTTGCGTCGGCTTGCTGAGTCCAGGAAGTGTTCGGTAGAGATGACCATCGTTTCAACACCGACGGAGCCAAGCAGCACAGGTAAGGTCTGGGCCGTTGAGCTATGAATTTCACCAGGCTTTTGCCTCTACCGTCCACCTCTCAGCCCCCAAGCCCTACTTGGAGGATCCGGGGACTTAGTAAGTAAGGTTATAAGTACCCTAATTGGGGCTATAAGTAGTTATAAGTAGAGCTACCCTAATTATAACCCTACTTACTAAGTCCCATGATCCTTTAAGTAGGCCACAAAACCAACACCCCAACTCCAAACTCTGAACCCCTAAACCCTGAACCCCAAACAACCTCATAAAATTCGCATCATCTCCCGCCTGACAGCCAAAGGAAAGCCGAAGTCGCTGCTTGAAACCTCTAAACCCTAAGCCTCCTGAACTCGAAACCTCAAACCCGCAAATTCTAAGCGTAGAAGCCCTAAACCTTCTAAACCCCCTCAGCCCTCTAAAGCCCTCTAAACCCTAAAGCCCGTTCAAAACTCTAGGCTTTTTTTAAACCCTAAACCCGAGAAGTCAAAAAGAACGCTGAATCTGCCAGCTGCTGGCTCCCGAAGGCTACAGACTGCTCCCAGTTTTCCAGAGCCAAGACGTGAGCATAGGGACTACCATAAGCTACCCTTAAGGGACTATCTGTCATAGGGTTTAGGGTTCGGTGCTTAGTAGGGAATGGGGGAATGGATCTCTGTAGTCGTCCCTATGGTCCCCATAGCCCATTCAATTAACATAGGGTCTTCATAGTTACTAGTACTGCTAGAATAGGGTTCCTTTACTGGGGTCTATAAGGATGTAGCTACCTATACTATTTTGAGGGGCTCCTTAGTATAATTACAGTATAATGAGCCCCAAGACCCTATTCTACTTGCTAAGGCCCCTATACTAGGAATTAACCCCAGGGGTTTAGGGTATATGCTTCCTGGCTAAGCCTAAAGCCATCCCTCTCCGGATCGGAATTAACCCTAAACCCTGAATCCCCTGATCCTGAGCCCGGAACCCAATTCTCCCCGGCATAAACGAACCAGCCTAGCAGTCGAGTAGGTAACCTTTAACCTTTCTTGGGTAGTATAGTCCCTGTATAATTCCCTATATAGCCAAAAAGGTTAACCTTTAGTTCCCTATGATACCCGACAAGTAGGAATAATAGTAGTAATATTCATAGTGGTAATCATAGTCATAATAGTAATAATCGTAGTAGTAACCACAATCATAGTAGTAATAATGATAGTAAAAATAACAATAATAGTAGTAATAGTAGCAACGTTGACTAGGAGTCAGACCTTTTTCGGGGAGCTCTGTATTCAGCGTCGCACCAGCACGCCCAGCAAGTTTGGAGCCTTGGAGTTCACCAAATCTGAGCTGCGGCAGCTAAGGGAGATGATTTGAATCCTTACCCAGAGAGCCCAATACCCCTTAATTAAGGAATATGGCTTAAATTATATAGGGCTTCATATTATGATTTAAGCTATATTCCTTAATTAACGGGTATTGGGCTCTCTGGGTAAGGGAGATGGTTTTAATCCTAAGCTGCTTGCAGGTTCATGGGTAGCTATAAGTGGGGTTATAATTAAGTCCCCTAATACAGGTTATAGCCATAGTTACCCCACTTCTAAGCCCTACGTATAGCTACCCATGAACCTCCAAGTGTTGACCCCGGAAGGTGAAGGGTCGGCCTTCTGCCTCCTTGTCATAATTCGCGAAAAATCTACCCGAAAGCCCTCTTCTACTGATGTTTAGGGTTTAGGGTTTCGGGTTTAGGGTTTCGGGTTTAGGGTTTGATTAATGCTCCATAGTTCGAGTCCTCAAAGCCGTGGCACGCCCTTACATTCTGAAGCCCAGAGACCCCGGAGAAACCCTGCGTGAGCCTGGACGAGTCGTCAAGAACAGTAATATAGGGGCCTGAATAATTCGAATAGGGTTCCTTTAAAGGGATCCTCAAGTGGGGTCTATAGGGGATCTATGATAGGGTTCTGTAATATAGGGGCGTCAGTAATTAGAATAGGGTGTTGGGGCTCGTTATACTATCATTACAATAAGACCCCCAAAATAGTATAGCAATTATTTAGGCCCCTATATTACTCTGCTTACAGTTTAGGGGTTGAGGGCTTTCTCTCTCTCCCTCTCTCCTACCTGTATACTTGCTTAGCCAATCCAGTTTAGTCTGATCTAGCGTAGTCTAACCTAGATCTAACTTCCCTATCGCACCGTAGCTTTAAGCTGATCTTCGTGTGCATTTTAACTTTGTCCTTATCATCCAGGGTTTTGGGGATGTCAAGCCCTCCAAACGCCAAACCCATGGAGACCTTTCATGGAAAACGTCGCCATACATGGGTCTACCAAGGAAAGTTCGCGGTAGAGCTTGCTAATGGCCTTTCCCAGGGTGCCAGCAACTTCCAGTTCTCTGGGTGTACCACGCGACCTTAGAACACACACATACACGTGCATGGAACTTACAAACGCAGCTGATGCAATGAGAAGGTAAAGCGAAACAAGATGAAACAAGACGTAGTTGCAGAGAATGTTGAGACATAAGACAACATAGTATGCTTCCGATGCCCCAAAATCCCGCCTGGAGTACAGCATGGCTTTGTCAGCAGGTAAAGACACTCCATTACTATCCTGATGCTTCCAGTTTGGCCTCGGAGGGTGGGGTTCATGGCCTGACGCTGATGCATAGGACTTCAAGACCCTATACTAAAGGGGCCTTAATAATCACCTATACTATTTGGAGGGGTTCCTTATTATAAGTACAGTATAATATACCCCCAAGGCCCTATGCTAATTGTTAAAGCCGATACCCTATGTCACGAAGCTGCCAAGCTCATCATGGAACTCCGAGCAGAGGATTTTTCGACATTGGCGTCCTCGCATGGTCTCCACAGCTACACGGGAGAGCAGTACCGACTGTTGATGATATTAATGCTGCATGACCTGAAGGACCCTAAACTATGGGAAGTACGGTATATTCCTTATGATGGGCAATGCAGGATTCATATCATCAACCGTAGGGGGTCTAGGGTAGAGGTCCAGGTGATGATGGTATGGGGCTTCGGGGGGGTTTAGTGGTTTGCGGGGAGTCTGAAGATGAACTAAGGCTCACATGTGGGGCTTCGAGTTCAAGTCTCAAATTCGATATCCCGACCTCATAAGGGCCCTTATGGCACCCTAAGAAGGATTTTATAAGGGTCGACCCTTATCCTTCTCAATGTCCTTATTGCAAAATCACCCCTAAACCCCAAGCCCCGAAGCCCTAAGGCCCTAAACCTAGCCGGTTAGGGTCGAGGCCGTGGCCCTTCTCCCACCCCAAAACCCTTCTGAAGGGGCTTTAATCATTAGTTAAGAAGATGATTTTGGAGCTCATTGTACTTTAGATATAATGAGGAAAGAACCAAAATAGTGAAGGTAATTATTTAAGCCCCTACATTACCATACTTGAGGCGCTCGTGTTGAAAAGCACAACAGCACGCCCCAGCCTGCGGGTAGCTCTCAAAATCAGGGGCTTCTCCCTAAAAACCCCAGGACCCTGAACCCTAAACCATGAATACCATAGTACCCCAGAGACTCCAATATCCCTTAATTAAGGAATATACCGTAAAATATAATAGGATCCCTAATATGATTTAAGGAATATTCCTTAATTAGGGGATATTGGAGCCTCTAGGACCATAGCCGTAAACCCTCTGGTCGATCCCTTCTGGAGCCCTTCAAGAACCCTGCTGAAATCCTATCAGATCCCCACATAAAACCCCTAAACCCCTAGACCCCTAAACTGCCTTAAACCCCAAACCCCTAAACCCCAAACCCCTCAACCCTAAACCCCTAAACCCTAAACCCCTAAACCCTAAACCCCTAAACCCTAAACCCCTAATCCCTAAACTTTCCCCAAACCCCCCCCCATACACCCCGCGAATTTGACGGCTGCCCTTCTGTTTTCCATGTTCGCGCTGGGGCGACACGGCGTGCTGATCTCATGGGATCACAG